TCTGGGGGGCGCAGACCCCGCCCGCTCCCACCGACCCCGGCAGGGCTGCCTCTTTACCCGCCTCCTCCTGCAGCACGGCCAGCGACACGGTCACGTCCTCGGGGCCCCCGACCAGGGCCGCGCTGACCTCACGGCCGGACAGGCGGACGGCAGGAGGGATGAAGACTGGACGGGCGGAGGGAACGGGCGGGTGAGATGGGGGGCTGCCCCTCGGCCCTGGGCCCCACAGACCCGCGGCCGCCCTACACACCCAGGTGCCCCCGCAGCGGCGTCAGGACGGCATGCAGAAGGAGTCCCAAGAAGACGGAAGCAAGGGGCGGCAGGCCCATGGCTCGGGCCTCGAGGGGTCCCCACGCCCGCAGCGCGCCCGCCTCAGGGCGCGGGACGGCCCGGGCCCGGCTTCCACGGCCGCTGGGGCCCCGCCGCCGCCATCTTGTAAGCGAACACCGGGAACTATGGCAACTGCCAATCGGCTGCCGGACAGATGGAGCGTCGCGCTGCGATTGGGCCAGCAGCAAGAGAGCCCGCCCCCACCCTTTGACTCCACCCACGTACCCGCCCCCAGTGTTTTGGCCCCACCCACGTGCCCTACGCTCACTTTAACTCCATAATGGGAGAGGAGAACTTGTCCAGTGTCAGAACGGGAATTTTGCTACCCTAGAGCGAATTCACAAAGACGAGGCTTTCTGCTTCCGCCAAAAGACTGACAGTTCTCTGTCCATAGGGTCGCTGAGTCAGGATTGACGGGATGGCAGTGATTTGATGGAAAACCCCACACCGGGGCATATACCCTGTACCAGTTGAATACCCTTGGATTAAAATGGTGCGTTATACAACTAAAACAATGAGAACAATTAAACAGGCGGCCACACCAGAGGCAGCGGTGGTGTGTTTGTGGAAAACAAGGCCACCGGGGCTGGAAGTGACCCCCAAGAGGGGAAGGGTAGGGGCCTGGGAAAGGAGTCTTAGGGAGTCTAAGCCCAGGGTACCCCCAAAACCCAAACATACTGAACTAAGGCATTGGCAAAGAACATTCAATACACCACAGGCTGCCAGGAGAATGAACAAATTGGTCTTGGAAGACCAATTTGTAACCAGAGTGCCCTTAGGAAGTAAGGATGATGCCTCTGGCCTACTGTGGACACATGATCAGGAGCCAGTCCCCAGGGAAGGGCATCATGCTTGGTGAAGTAGATCAGCAAAAAAGCAGAAAACTCAAAAAGATGGACTAACAGAGGCTGCAATGATGGGGTCACGAATAATACTGAGGGTGGTGCAAAACCAGGCTGTATTCCTGTTGCTGTACCAGGGTCATTGAGATCTTCTTCCTATGCCCAATGACAATTCAAAGCCCAAACTGTCTGTCACCATGGCAACTCCTGTTGTCAGAGTAACCCTTGCTTCATAAGCTTTTCAAGGGCTGATCTTTCAGAAGCCAATCACCAAGCCTTTCTTCTGAGGCAGCC